TGCTCGAACGGGCCCAGTAACGTCTCCATTGGAGACTTTGTTGTTACTGTGTTTGGCATATCGAATACGTCATGGGGAGCTTGCCAGGCTCTGCCGTATTAGCATAGAATTATTCATGCCTCTAAAAATATATGATTTTTGAAAAGTATTTTATTAACTTATTGATTTAAAATTTTACAAGTTTAGCTTTATTCATCTCTGTGTTTGTAGATGTCATCTCTATATTTATAGTTGTCACTCCTCCAGAATAATTTTGGGGGAGTTTGTGGCCACACTCATGGTGCTCAGCGGTTACAGTAAAATTGTTAAGGTTCTCTTTCATATGTGAAATATAAAAAAATGACAGAACAATAAATGGTCTATGTCAATGGAACTAAAGATTTTGTCTATGGAACTGAACTTATATGGGAGGGAATGCTAAAAGGGGCCTTTGTAACACTGGTGGAGGAAAGTGAACACTCTGGTGATGGGTGTAGGAATGATGTGTGCATAAAAAGTATAATTAACAGCATTGTAATCTCAGAATCTCAATAAAAATAGTAAAAACTTTTAAAGAAAAAAATGGGACAGAGTTTAAAAGCATATGCATCGAATGAAGGACATCAAATTATATAAAAGAACCAACATTCCTAAGGAGAAACATCTGCAGTACAATAGTATTAGATTTTAATCCCTCACCCACCCCCACTTAACCAGTGAAGAGATTAACTAGAAAGAAAATTAGCAACAATCTTAAATGGGTTTGAAGAGCTGGGCTTCCTGAATATTTACAGGGGGTTCCATCCCCCCAAACCCCAAAAGCCTAATACATATTGTTCTTTTTTTTAACTTTTTAATTGAATCACTGTGAGTGGACCATTACAAAGCTGTTCATGAGTGGATTTCTGTCATACAGTATTCCAACACCCATCCCTCTACCAGTGTACATTTCCCAGCACCAGTGTCCCCAGGTTCTCTCCCATCCCCCCCACACCCTCACCCCATAAACCATTCTTAGGGAGTCACATGATGAAACTATACATTGGCAATTTTAAATGACAGTGATAGAACTGGAAAGCAATATGGGAGGTAAGATGCTGGGCTCAAATCTGGTGCAAATCTTTAGCACCACACATAGCCCCAGAGCACTGTCAAGGATCACCCCTGAGTGTAGAAATAAAGTAGTCCCTGAGCGCTGCTGGGTTTGTGTGGCTCAAAACAAAAAACAGGCCAGAGCATTAATACAGTGTGCAGAGCATTTGTCTTGCCATCGGCCAATCAACCCCTGGCATTCTATATGGTCCTGCGCCCTCTAGGAGTGATCACTGAGCTCAGAGCCTAGAGTCAGCCCTGAGCACCACCAGGTATGCCACTCCATCCCTTAAAAAAATGTCAGTGATAGAATAGTCTAGGCAAATCTTTTCTTGGTCTAAGTTCTAAATAACATGAATAAAATGAGTATCTTTTCCATAATATGATTAATACATTATTAATAAATTGATATCATAGACAAATATACACGATTCAAATAAGCACATTTTCCTTTCTTTTTTAACGACATGCAGCTGTACTCAGTTTTGATGTCTGTTCCTGCACTTAGGGATCTCCCTGCACTTAGGGGGCCTTATGGGTTGCGTTCAAAGTTGGGCAGGCTATGTGCAAGGCATTACCCATTGTCCTATCTCCCTGGTCATAAATGACATTTTTATTAGTAAGAATTGTATTATACACAGAATTTAGAATTTCCAGTTATTTCAATGGTACCTAAAAGAATTCATTTGGAGAGTAAGTTCAAAATGGTTTAGAATCATCAACGTTTACTTTGAAAAACCAAAAATTAGTTCGTTTTTGGTACAATTCATGTCTCCATTCATCTAGTACAACATATAAATGTTCGAGCTAGTTTTAAATTAAGTTACTGAGCTACTGACTCTGCTTTTGAAATAGGGCTCAGTATGCATCCCCTATTAATTTCCTATGGCTGCTATAACAAATTATCACAAATTTTGGAACTTAAAAATGGCAACAGTTTTCCCTTCTATAAATACAAAGCTTAAGTCTGTGATTATTTTTGCCTTCCTTCAAAGCCTTCATGAAGATAAATAACTGGAACAGTACCAGTTATTAGATAGAAATTAGATGTCTGCTATGTTTAGCCTGGCTTGAAAACATCTCACAAATAATTAATTAAGACCAAAAGGGCTCAAATATCAAACTTCCTGGGGCTGGAGCAAAAAAGCACAGCAGGTAGGGCGTTTGCCTTGCACGTGGCCGACCCGGGTTCGATTCCCAGCATCCCATATGGTCCCCTGAGCACCGCCAGGGGTAATTCCTGAGCACAGAGCCAGGAGTAACCCCTGTGCATTGCCGGGTGTGGCCCAAAAAGCAAAAAAATCAAACTTCCTGGTCTCTAACTACAATGCTACCACCTACTAAGAGAATTTCCTTTCTTCAAACTTCCAGTAACATGTAAAAAATGCCTAAAACAAGGCAGTGGGTGGAGGCTGAAAGAATTTCGAAGAGTAGTAGAGCCATTTATACACCACTTTCAGTACCAAAATCTGTAACAGTACCAAAATTTGTAACAAACTGCCACATAATCGGTGCTTCAGACAATATCCATTATCAGTCCTATGGGTCAGGGGTCCAAGTAGAGCCTAACTAGGTACTCTGCTCAAGGCCAAAAGAAAAGGTTTGTGGGACTAGAGATATAGTATCATGGGTAAGGCAACTGCCTTGTACACAGCTGACCAGAGTTCTTTCCCAGGTACCCCAGAAGGTCCCAGGAGATAATCCCTGTAATCTGCCAGGTGTGGCAAAAAACTAAACACAAACAAGAAAAAGCTGGGCCAGAGATAAAGTACAACATGTAAGGTGCCTGCCTTGCACATGACCAACCTACGTTCAATCCCCAGCACTATATATAGTTCCCTTAAACACCAGGAATAAGCCCTGAACACAGCTGGGTATGACCCCAAAACAAGCTAAAATCACATTTTAAAATCGGGCCCAGTAATGTCTCCATTCATCCCTGTCACGTGCTAGTGTAGCCCGATGACATATTGGAGGCTTCTTCAGGGTCAGGGGAATGAGGACCATTCATTGTTACTGTTTTTGGCATATCGAGTTCGCCACGAGTAGTTTGCCAAATCTAAAATCTGGCAGAATTTCAATCTCATCTGAGGCTTGAGGTCCTCTCCCAAACTCCATGGCTAGTCACATGTCTCCCTTTACTGACAGTATGGTTGCTTACTTCTTTAAGGCCAAAAAGAAACTATCTGCCAGAGATGTACTTCAGTGGTAGAATGTGTGCCTCAAATGCATTGAGACCTACTTCAACCCCTAAAATTTAGTTTGGTTTAGCATGCCAAACCGCTCCCCACACAAATCTGCTGCTACTGCTTCTCTTATTTAAGGACTCACCTGGAAGGCCAGTTTCACCCAGGAAAATCCCTGTAGATTAATTCAAAACCAAATGGCTAATAACTGAAGCACAAGAATGAAGTTCTCATATTCATAACTCCTACCAAAAGGAATTACACAGACCAAGAATCTTAGGGGCATCTTGAGAATTCTGTCATTCCTTCCCCTTCAATCGTGAAAGTTGACTCAGATTCCTGGCCTTAGAGATCAGCTTAAGTGTTCTGTATACTTACTTACCTCCTTTCCCCCAATTTTCATCCTCTACTATTTGGACACATGCCTTTTGCTTTAAAGCAGTCTGACATTCAAAATGTTTGTTTTCTGTAAAATCAGAGGAAAATAATTGACATTTCTTGCTGGTGAGCAATCTGGAAAGGGCACATTTGTGCATATTTAAGAGCATGAACTAAAAAATATAGTAATTGAAATTCTTAATTTTAAAAGTCTGCCAAGTATAAGTATTTGATACCTATTTGATACTCACCTATTGCGTGGAAAAAAAATGCGTCCAATAAATAAACTCCAATAAATGCTTTAGATATTTACTAGAATTTATCAAAGATGCTTGGGCTTGGGAATGTGGCTCAGTGGTAGTGCACAGCCTTGCCTGTGTGAGGACTAGATTACATTTCTGGCATCTGACCCCTGCTCCCCACAACAAAGGAATTAACTGAATAGTACTGATGGATACAACTATTTTATTTGTTCACAATTATTGCTTCTAGTTGTGTAAATCACTAGCTAGTTTTTGGATAAGGGACAAATGTATTTTTATTTTTCATGTTTTTTCAATTTTTTTAATGTCCACGGGAAAGATAGATAGGCTTCATTCCTTCTTTCACTTTCTCTTTTCTGGTAACTTTTTTTCTTACATAATCATATTGCATGTGGTTAGACTTTTAAAAGTAGTTATGGTATAGACCATATAATGAGAAGTCTTCCACATAAAAGCAACAAATCTATCTTTGGAGACAAACATTTTATCATCTGAAATATCGATTGTGGGCTGGATAGAGTACAGTGGGTACAGTGGGTCTTGCCTTACATGTGGTTGACCTGGGTTCAATCTCCAGCACCCCACATGGTCCCCCAAGCCCCAATAAAAGTGATCCCTAAACACAAAGCCAGGAACAAGCCCTGAGCACCACCAGGTGTGACCCTCCTCAAAACTTTTTTTGAAAGAAAGGGGAAAAAAGATAGTGTTCAGGGACTGGAGAGAGAGTACAGTGAATAGGCACTTTCACTCACATGCAATTAATGTAGGTTTAATCCACTGCATCCTTTATAGTCTCCTGAGCATTGTCAGCAGTGATCCCTGAACACAAAGCCAGGGGTCAACTCTGAGCACTGCCCAAAACCAAAAAAAAAAAAAAAAAAAAAAAAAAAAAACCCACATAATTTTGTTCAAGGACAAGAAGATGGCTCAAAGTGTAAGCTTTGCATGCAGAATCCTAGATTTGAACCCCACCACTGCATGATCTCCGAGCACCAAGTCAAGAGTAGCTCCTGAGCACCATTGGATGTGGTCCCAAAACAAAATCTGTTAATTTTGTGTTGATGTAAAAATTACAAAACTGTCTATAACATTACAAGAAGGATCAAGCCTACCGGGCTTCATATTATTTATTAGTCTCACTTTCAGAAGAGGAGCAAAGAGCAGGTACTGCAGTTCTAGTCTCCTATTCCTCTAGTGTGATCTGGGCTACATTCACTAGTCTGACAGGTTCACTGTTACTCCCACTGAGGACTTACTAATCATTTGTCAGTTACATCAGTGAAAATCAGAAAGCTCCAGTTACGAACATGGCAAGAATCAATTGTAATGTAAGGATTTCTAGTCCCAAAACCATGTACAACTGAACAGGTCTGAAGAAACTTCACTACAGGAAACATAAGGAAACATTAATAAACATTTATGTAAGACATAACAAAGAGTATATACTTAAGAACATCTGAAATGGTAAACAGTTTTAAATAAACTTTAAAATCCGATCACAGCTATAGTTATAAGACTCAGAAGAAATTTATTTACATTTCCTACTTGTCTAGTGCTGAAAACAAGAAACAACTGAATGTCCAATAACGGTCTGGGGTTTATTAAACCAGTTCGTGTAAGACAATGGTTAGAGCAGCTCATAATCATTAGGCTAGAAAAATGTCTTTTCCTGCATGTGCTTCAATTGCAGGACATAAATTTAGCCATAGGAGCCTGTGCATTATGGCAATAAAAATCCAGCTGAATCCTAGCTTGTAAAGTGCTATTCCTCTCTATCTTAAAAAACGGTATCACCACTTTTGTTAACTTCCTTGACAGCTTCTTTCTCTTGTTCCCCTTCTCTGTCGGCTTCTTTCTCTTGCTCCCCTTCTCTATCGGCTCCTTTTTCTTCTCCATCGCAAGCATCTTTCTTTCCTCCATTATTGGATACTTTATCTTCTTCTTTGTCCTGAACACTGAAAACTGCTTTATTATAGCCTTCCCGGTTCCGAGCAATTTCAATTGCAAAAAATTGTATTCTGGGGGCTGAAATATTAAAAAAATTAATTACGGTCTGAAACTCAGTTACTTCCCTAACCCCACTAAGAAAATGAACAGGAAATCACTCAAGTATAAGCACAGGCCTCGGTGATCTGGAATTCTAATCCTATGTTAAATGAGGCTGAAAATACTTAACTGTCCTGTCATACAGTTACTCAAGATATAGTAACAGAATTTTTAAAAATATAATAGAGCTGGAGAGATTGTACAACAGGAAGGATGCATGCCTTGCACTCAGCCAGCCCAGGCTCAGTCCCTAGCACCGTTATTTGGTCCTCTGAGTACCACCAGGAGTTATCCCTAAGCAGAGTGAGGAGTGGCCAAAAAAAAAAAACCAAAAATAAACAAAAAAATATATGTGTAACACCATAACCACCAAATTAACTCTCCATGTCACTGATTCATCAGTAAAATCGGATCCCTTGTTTTCCTTAAATAGAAAGGATTTCAGAGGAAAGGCACTCACCAAGGTGCCGAAGTGATATTATAGCAGGGACGGGGTTTGCCTTGCACACGGCTAACCCAGGTTTGATCCCCAACACCTCATATGGACCCCCAAGTATGCCAGGAGTAATTCCTGATCACAGAGCCAGCAGTAGCCCAAGCACTCTCAGATGTGGCCCCAACCCCTCCTCCAAAAAAACACTCACCAAATATAGTATTTTCATCAGTGTAGCCCTGTGAACAATCCAGTCGTAGCAATGTACCATAGTTGAAATCTTCTACAAGCCCATCAAATTTCAAGCAAAATGGCCTCCACTTCTATTAAGGCAAAAAAAGACACATTAGCTGGCAAGTGCAGGAGGATGGTGAAGTCAGATCAAAAGAAGGCATTCCACATTCCCAATCATAAAAGGACATTAGGACCGAGTTAACTGCTAATTTCACTAGCAAAAATTTCTGACCTGTCTATTGTGCACTTATATTTCTGCTTCCCAACATTAAAATATCCTGACAAAATACTTAAATCTTTGACTAGAGACTAAAATTTGGTTTCTTAAATTATCTGTTTCATACATGGTATTGGATAGCTCAAACAAAAGTGATAATTCATCCCCACTGAAACATAAGTAACAAAAAGGCAGGAATTTGGCCCAAAGTCATAAAATTAAATTTTAACAAAGTTGTCCAATCAGCAATGGCAATTTTCCAAAAATTAGTTACAGCCCATTAAGTAGGAGTTAAAAGTTTAGTATGAGGCCTTGAGTTTAATCTCTGGAACAAAAATAAATACTTTAGATTCTTCATAATACAATGTCCTACTCCCAGAAAAATACATTTTCTCACCTACAAGTCTTAGCGCTCTACAAAAGAACAAGATAAGCAAGTTAGAACAGAAACATTACGATTATCCATGGCCTACTAGTGACCTTACATGCAGAGAATCAGAACATTTCCCTGTACCTATTTGCCATTCATTTATTCAAAGCTTCTGGCTAATCAAGTCACATAAATATGTGTACTGAATGGGCAGATCAGGTGGAAAAGAAATGTACAAGTGTGAAGGGGAAAAAATTAGATACACTGAAAATTAAAAAAAAAAAATCAATAAAACCCAAAGTGCCCACTTTGCAACTTCACATATTAGTTAATTCTAACTACATTAAAACCCTAGTTCTTTATAAATATTCCATAAACAAAACAGAAAAGAATTTACATGTATAAAAATTTATTTACAATCAAAAATTGGTGGATGAATGCTAAACAATATTTAAGATTTTTTACCTCTTTAGCTGATTCTGACTTGAGCTCTTCTGGATCCAATATATCTATCCTAAGCTTCTCAAAATTTTCCCGAAACTCAGAATAGATTTGGTCATCCACTTTGGTGAGTTTCAGGAACTGAGGGTCAACCGATGAAATCAGCTGCCAGACAATAAAACATATAGACACTAGTTTCTAACTTACTGTATGTCTATATCCCAGTTCCCCAGAAAGCCTTTACAAGAGTTCTCAGGGCAGAAGGGTTCTGTAAGAAGCAGAGACAGCCTAGGTCCTGGATGAAAACAGGATATAGTTTAAAAGGCCATAATATGCTAGACTACTTTTGCCAATTCAAATTCATTTGGTTTTGGGGCTGGAGCAATAGCACAGCGGGTAGGGCATTTGTCTTGCACACAGGCGACCTCGCCGACCTCCACCAGGCTCAATTCCCAGCCCCTCATATGGTCCCCTGAGCACCTCCAGGAGGAACTACTGAGTGCAGAGAGGCAGGAGTACCCCTGTGCATAGCTGGGTGTGACCCAAAAAGCAAACAAACAAACAAAACAAATTCATTTGGTTGTAGTACTCCATGGCTATTGCCCTCTGTGGATTATTCAATCAAGCAACATAAATATTTAAGTACTGACAGGCACTCTTGTCAGTTAGTGAAAGAACAGTGAGCAAAGCAGCACATCCCCATGCCAAAACAAAATTCACAGCATTCTGCTGTATTCTCTATAGGTAATGATGTTTCGACAATAAAAATATCTCCAAAAACATAACTATTAAGCTAGCTGAGAACAGTAATTAGAAGAACACTACGCACAATTACATGGGTAATTTGTTTAATAATGAATATAGACAACTCACTTTGTAGTAGACTTCAGCATGTTGCATTGCTCTCATAGCCCAAGCCATTTCAATATCTGGCTGCAAAGGAATAAAGAATGCCAGGTGAAACACCTCCGAATCCTGAAGTTCAGAACAAATTAAGGAAGTCTGTGGATGGCTGGTTACTGCTCAATGGGCTTACCAAACTTTGTGTTGCTGTCCAAGGATTAAAAATGTAACTAATGGTTTTAGACAATATTCTGTTCTATTACAATAAGAGAAGCGACCTATAGTCTAACAATAACGCATTCTCTCCAGCAGCTAGTAGAAGTGTGGGAGACTACATAAAGTATATAAATCATCTTCTAGGAACTGAGTTAAATCATTGCAAAATTGAAATAACATATTCATTGACACCAGAGTTCATGAGGGCAAAAAAAGATAACAGAGGTGAAATTATGTCTAGCATTTAAGAATATAGCTTTAGGGGGGCAGGGAGTAGTATAGACTATACTACAGTTCTTGCCTTACACACAGAAAACCAGGGTTCAATCCCCGAGACCCCACATAGTCTCTAAAGTCCTACCAGGCCTAAGCCCTGAGTGGAGACATAGGACTAAGTCCTAAGCACAAATGGATGTGGCAAAACATGTAACAACAAAAAAAGAATATGGCTTTGGGGCTGAAGAGATATCCCCACCACCACAAATGATCCCCCAAACACTGCCATGATTGATTCCTAACCACAGAGCCAAGAGTATCTCCCAAGTAATAAAGTTTATCACAATTATCATCTGTGTTTATCAGTTAGCCATTTCTCATCCTATGACAGTTGGAAATGGACCAATTATCATGAGGCAAGCTAGGTTATAGAATTTTACCAAGCACCCACAACACAGAATCTATTTCACTGATCCTTTGCAAATTTTTGTATTCGAATTTTTTCCTCTATGCCTTTGCTTAGAGCAGGTCCTTTCCCTGTTTACCAATCCATGCTCTTGTTCACCTAACTTAAATTCTCCAGTCCGAGATGCACTTTCTCACTTTAAATTTCTTCTAGTCTCAGTTTTCACGGGGTTCCTCTTAGGCTTAAATTCTTAAAATCATTTAAGACCTGACATTACCCACTTAATCTAGAATATATCACATTCTTATCTGGATGTTACCACCACTCTCCTTGCTTTTCCATCACAAAACACACTGCTACTTCTCAGTGATCAAAATCAAGCACACATCAAAAATCAAACCAGTGCAACTTTACTGTGCAATGTAATTACTCAAGAATCTTTAAAAATACTGATTACTGACTCACCCTCCCCATGTGAAATTCGAGTTAAATTTTTATGTACTAGAGATAACAATTTATAATAATATCTACTCTGGGATATTTAAAGGGTTCCGAGGTGATTCTAAAGTGCAGCAAACTTTCGGAACTAGTTCTGCAGGCATTAGCCCCACGTTCGGGTACCAAAAAGATGAGAATAAGCAGAAAGGTGCAGTCTCTCACAAACGTAGAGAGGGTCCGCAGAAAATAGCAGGGGGTGGGTTACAATTTCGTAACAGGCCCTTGGAAGCACGCCGGCCAAACTTGGCAAAGCATACTCACATCGTTGCCATAGGAATCGGCTGGGAGAGAAAGAGCCTGTGCCACGGACATCAACTCCCCGGAAACCTAGGAAGGGAAAAAGAGGGGGAGGGGTGGAGAAAACGTTCAAGACTCCGGCCGACACAACTTCCCGACACAACGTGGGGCCCCAGATAGAGCAGCATCTCACCGGCTCCTCATTCGCGTCCATGTTTAGCCCCCAAAAAACGTGGCCTCACTACCCCGGATATACTTGTGAGTGCCCTTCCCTCAACGGTAGCTGGGACCGGAAGTGCCCGCCCAGAGCGAGACTTCCCCGTTGACTTTGTGCGCCAAATCCTCCGGGAGCCCGTAGTTGCAGGCTCCGCCCTACAAGCCCTGCGCAGGCGCAGAAGTGGCGCGGTGAAAACCCCCCGCCCCCCTCCCCCTCCCACCCCCGCGTGCCACACACAAACACATACACCCCCCCCCCACACACACACACACACACACACGCTTGAGGGCTTGAGAAAGGTCTCAGTTAAAATAGAAATGCAGTTTTTTGCATTCCCGCCGTGCTGTGTGAATTCGCACGTGCACACACACAAAACCCGGGATTAAATCACAAATACGTGTTACTAGCCAAGAGTAGAGAAGCGGAGAGATGAAGAATCTATTCCTGTCTTGAAAAAGGAAAAAGATGGGGCTGGAGGAATAGCACAGCAGGTAGGGCATTTGCCTTGCACGCAGCCCACCTAGGTTCGATGCCCAGCATCCCATATGGTCCCCCAGCACCGCCAGGAGTAATTGCTGAGTGTGTGAACCAGGAGTAACTCCTGTGCATCGCTGGGTGTGACCAAAAAAGCAAAAAAAAAAAAAAAAAAAAAAAAAAAAGAGGAAAAGAGGAGCCTGAGTGATAGTACAGCAGGTAAGGCGTTTGCCTTGCACACCGCCCACCTGGGTTAGATCGTGAACATCTCATATGGACCCTGGGATCTGCCAGGAGTAATTCCTGAGTGCAGAGCCAGGAGCATCACCCGGGGTGCTCTCCCGACAAGAAAAAAAAATAAAGAAAGAAAAAGTTAGGAGGAAAATAAAGTTGTGATCACATCATACTGTGGAACAACAAATAGGAAATGCCTAAACAGAGTCATCATGGACAAGTAGCCAATAGTCACAACACACAAGGAAGAACTTTCTAGGCAGAAGAAACAATATATATAATCATTGAAGAATTAAACATCATGACACCTTGGTGTAAATTGCAAAACCGCCATAATAGCAAGAGTCTAATCATTTAGACTCTTTAGATGTAATAGGGCTTTAAGGTGCTAAATATTAAGGAGTTGGTATAGCACAGCGGTAGGGTGTTTGCCTTACAAGCGGCCAACGTGGCCAACCTGAGTTCGATTCCTCCCGGCAAGCTACTGGGAGTACCTCACCCACACGGCAGAGCCTGGCAAGCTCCCCGTGACATATTTCGATATGCCAAACACAGTAACAACAAGTCTCATCATGGAGACGTTACTGGGCCCGCTCGAGCAAATCGATGAACAACGGGAGGACTTCACCCTAAACTAACCGTGAGTTACTAAAGAGCAACCTCATGATCAAACTTAACTTTTAAGAAGATAACTAACAAACAATTGAAGGGATGGGCCACAGAGAGTACAGCAGATGGGCGCTTGCCTTACTTTCACTTCATATGGTCTTCTGAAGCCTTGCTAGGCGTGATCCCTGAACATAATCACTTAACTTAATCACTTAACTTCCCGTTAGTCGTTAGTCGTCGATTTGCTCGAGCGGGCGCCAGTAACGTCTCCATTTGTCCCTGTCGCGTGCTAGTGTAGCCCAATGGCATCTCTTCGCTCCGGGAACATGGAGGGCCTCAAACCGATCGTTCATGATCTTGACAAAGAAGTCTGACCATCTGGTAGGTGGGCGGCCACGCGGTCTCTTGACATCCCGTGGAATCCAATCAGTAACAGCTCTAGTCCAACGGTCGTCTTTAAATCTCATTACGTGACCAGCCCATCTGATTTTCGACACCTTGGCAAATGAGACAGCGTCCCTGATCCTTGATCGTCGACGGATGTCAGAACTCCGGATTCGTTCTCTCATTTGAGTGAAACGTGATATTCCAAGCATAGCTCTTTCTATTCTTCTTTGGGAGACCTGAATGGCGTTCTCATCTTGTTTGCGTAGGGCCCAGGTCTCTGAGGCATATGTTAATGCAGGAAGAACAGTGGAATCAAAGAGATGTGCCCGGAGCCGGAGGTTCTTCGTCCTCTTAGCTATTTCTTCGACGTTCTTGAAGGCGTTCCAAGCCGCTCTCTTCCTCCTGTGCAGCTCGGGTGCCAGGTCATTTGTCATGTTGACCTCTCGACCTAGGTACACATAGCTGTTGCATTCGGAGATGGTCGTTCCATTGAGCGCAAATGGGGCGTCAGGAACAAGGCTGTTTCTCATAAACATTGTCTTCGTAAGATTCAGCTGTAGTCCTACCTTTCCACACTCACGGTCAAAGTCGGCCAGCATTTGTGCTGCTTGGCTGATGTTTGGTGTTATTAAAACATAAAGTCAAGAGTAAACCCTAAGCACTGCCAGGTGTGGCCCAAAAAGGAAACACAGCCCCTTTCCGCCCCCCCCCACAACACACCACACACACACACACACACACACACACTAGGAGATCAACTTGAAGGAATTAGGTGATGAAAACCCAAGCCAAGCCACTAATAGTTTAAATAATTTTGAGAGTTGCTAAAATTTAAAAAATAGGACTTGGAAATTAATTGGATATGGAGAATAAAGGAGAATTGGGATTCCAGTTGACTCCAGGGTTTCAGGTCCAGAGAGATAGTACAAGATTTGGGGCACTTGTCTTACACTTAGCCAGACAGTCCCAGGCACTTCATATGGTCCTCTGAGCATTGCCAGGTATGACTTGAGCACAAGGTCAACAGTAAGCTCTGAGAAGAATGGAATTTGGCTCTCCCCCTCAAGCACCCCCCCACACCAAATTTTTAATTAAGAATAGAGCTTCCTTGCTTTCAATGATGAATTAACATCTCCTTTATATTGAAAATAATAGAGCTTCCATGTTACCTGTAATTCTACTCCTAGGGATCTACCACAAGAACATAAAAATGTTCCTTTGGTGATGAAATATGCCTATTAATTTATTCAAAAAATTATTTACAATAGCCAAGATCTGGAAATGACCCAGGTGCCCAACAACGTATGGGTGAAATGATGGTGTAAGCATAATGGAATATTACTCAGCTATGAGCAGTGGAAATCTTGCAGTTTGCTGCACCTTTTATGAAATGAGACTCCATCCTTCTAGATGAGTCATAAAAAAAAGACAAATGTCATATACTATCACTCATATGCAGATTATAAATAAAAAGTTAAGTTAAGGTATTGGACAATCTTTAATGGAAATGAGCCTTGAAATAAGTTTAAAGAACTGTGATCTAAGGTTGCTACAGGGGTGAGGAACCTAGAGAGGTTTGGGGATAATGATGGAAGAAACTTCACACTCTGGTAGTGGGCATGGAATAGAAGTACTGCAAGTATAAAATAATATTATAGGTTCTACTATAAATGTTTTAATTGAAAAGTTAAAGAAAACTTAAAACAGAATATAAACTTTTGTAAAGGAGGCAATTTTCATTATCGAATATATAGATTTTAATGGCAAGGCAGTTGAGGTAAGAACTAGTTTCAAGCAGGGAAGCCATATACATACTTCCTAAAATTATTGATTACATGGTCTTGTGAGATTATATGGGGAAGAAAAACTTGGAACACCTTGGAATTGGTCATCAAAAGCTAGAGAAAAACATAGATCTAAAATCTAAAATATGCAAGTCACTCTATTGTGAAAATATAAAATGAAGATAATAAGTATTTGCTATGATGTGGTGTATGATACGTATAGAATAAATTGACTAGTGCCATATTACTATGCTGTACCTCATAAAGACAGGGTATTAGAGATGGCATTCGTAATTATTTGTTGGCAGGAAACTATTCTATCATCAGAGCAAAAGCTTTATCAGATCCCCTTCCAGATTGGAGTTAGTCCCAGAAACCTCAAGAACACGGCCTCAAAATCCATAAGGCAAAAACTTTAAATAATTATAACTAGAAATGAGCAAAACCATTGAAATTGTGGGATATTTTGACAGCTCTATGATCAATTGACAGATCTAACAGCCAACTAAGTTAACAAGAATTTAGAACTTTCAAACATGTGAACAAATGTCTTAATGGATAAATTCTGAACCCAGAACCCAACAATTATATATCTATGCCAGCTTTCATGCCAAATGATCATGATATCATAACATGTGATGATATACATCTCAAGAACTAACGGAGTTGAATTCATGCCATGCCACGCCAGATTGTCTTCAATGGGGCCCCTTAGAGGGGGGCAGTTGAGTCTCCCTCTCCGCCCTAAGCAGAACCCCGGCAGCCAAAAACCTCCAGAACCCAGCTACAGTCATGCTCAAGGCCACTCTCCACACACTTGGACGAGCCTCACACAATGGAGTACTATGTAGCTGTTAGAAAAGATGAAGTCATGAAATTTACATACAAGTGGTACAACATGGAAAGTATCATGCTAAGCGAAATGAGTCAGAAAGAGAGGGATAGACATAGAAAGATTGCATTCATCTGGGGGACATAAAGTAACAAAATATGAGATTAATACCCAAGAATAGCTGAGATCAGCACCAGGAGGATTACTCCATAGCTTAGTGGCCAGTCGGGCATTCTAGAGGAAAGGGCAGCTCAGATAGAGAAGGGAACACCAAATAAAGGGTGTTTGGAGGATCCTCCCAGGAGGGAAGATGCATGTCGAAAGTGGACTATGGACTGAACATGTTTGCCACTCAATGCCTCTTTTGCAGACCACAATACCCAAAAGGAGAGAGAGAACACAGGGAATTGCCCTGCCACAGAGGTAGGGGGGGATGGGGGGATGGGGGTGGGGGGGATATTATCCATGGTGGTGGAAAATGGGCACTGGTGGAGGGATGGGTATCTGATCATTGTATAATCAAACCCAAGCACAAAAAAATTGTAAATCTACAACTGTACCTCATGGTGTTTCACTAATAAAAAAAATAAATAAATAAAAGGAAAAAAAGAGAGAAGGCTGGGGTGTGGGTAGGGGTGATGTGGGCAGGTAGATAGGAAAGGGCTCATGGAAATGAAATTCCTAGGAAGTAATAAAAACAATAGCTCAAGTCTGCAAAAATCCCACCTT